AAATTGGACGATATGTTATCGTGAATAGTTTTTAGAAAAAAAAAAAGACTGCAATTGACGTGTTCACACTAGCCGGGTGATGACTTTTTATCGTACGATCGACGTACGACTGTCGTCTCAACCACTGGGAAAGGACGATATCGTGACGATATTTTATCGTGTTCACTTTGGGGTGGTCCACAGAAACTAATTTCATACTCCACGACTTTCATTCGTATGTCGTCCAACTTCTCGTCGTTCTCAGCTTGGTATTTTTCCGTTGAATGGTATCTACAGGTCATCAAACTATGAAACGGACTTCCTGAAGTAATTCAAAAATTTGGTTTCTTGACTTCTTAATTCCTCAAAAGAGATTAAATGCACCCACTTCATTCCTCCTTTGATTTATGGGATGGACCCAATGGACGCGATTTGATTTTTTTTTCGATCTAGCAATCCAAGGGATATTACACGTCTCCGGTCCATGATGCAACAAGCGTGGTGATCCAACAACAGCGGCGAATTTTCGGACGACACGACTTTTGTCAAAACACGCCATATCGTCCGTTTTTTTATCGCACGTCAAAAGTCGTCCAGTATGAGAGGGGCCTAAGTATCAGTATAGAGAGATCTTATATTGGAGGAAATAAAGAAATCAAGCAGACCGGGTTTTCTAGGGGAGGTAGGCGAGTAGGTTGGTTGTGTTGGGATAGGAAGGGGAAATTGGTTTGGGTAAGAATATTGTAAGTTTCGACCTCTCGGATTCGCCACACGACTTCTCGAGCTTGGGTGTTTTACGTAAAGTCACCACCACAGTTGAATCCGGGGACCAAGGGTAAGAAAAGTTAGGAAACAGTTTGCGTGTATTGTTTCGTTTGTAGGTCAGTACACGGTTGAGTGTATGCAAATAGCTCCAACAATAGAGAAATGGCGGTTACTTGAAGGGAGGAAGTGACATTACAGAGTTCTGGGAAATGAGATAGGTCGTTGCGAACAAAAATTGCTGTCCCATCGGAATCGTTAGTCGCGTTAAATTGTGTGGTCTAGGATGTAAAATCGCGATCTGTCAGTAACGTGTGTTTCTGTTATTAAAACTACATCAATTCTTTTTTTAATATAATGGTATTTTGAGTTCATATCGTCAGTCGGTTAGTCCGTTGGCGTTCCAAAGCACAGGGTAAGAGAGTGACGAGTGAGGAATATTTAAGGTGAATGCTTGGGAACAGGCTGTTTACAACTTTGGTTAATGAAGATATTATTATATTATATTATTGATAGAAATAATTTAGAAATGATCCTAGTAGGTTTGTCATATCTCCTGAAGGAGCAGGAGTTTAGGTTTGGGTGGCTGGTGAAGGAGTAGTGGGAGCGGGACAGGAAACTGAAGATTGAGTGGACCCTACGACTACCTGTGATAAATGATACGTTTTTATTGAAGTGATCCATAACCATCTATTAAAAACCTTATTATGTCAATTTGTAGACATTTTCATAATTGTTTTGTCTTGATGATGACTTTAAAATAGGTCGAAAGCACGGCAGATAAGAATTGGATTTGTTTTTGCCATCCATCAGAGAGTAAAAAAGTAGTCGATATATCTAACACTTAAAACAAAACAACAAAGTTAGGAAGAACGATCGGAAATGACCAACTTCAAATATTGGAACATTTACCCCAACGTCAAATAATAAGAAATGATCCAGTTGAGGTTATCAAGCAAATGTTTTATGACCTCAATTGGATCTTATCTATTCATATTTATAGTATACTTTTTGAGAAATTGCACATCGCTAAGTGATATATGTCATGTAGTGAAGTATTTTTTTATATTTTTAATTTTCATCAAAAGTGCCAACATGGAGGTTTCGACGGCAGGAGACGGTGGAAAAATTTTAACGTTTCTTTATCAAGAAGTTGTTTGGGCTCCCCCTCATAACACCAAATTAATAGAAGAAGAACAAAAATAACTTTATTCTGAGACCGGTGTCCCCTAAGAATAATTTACATGAAATAAATAAAGGAAGTTCCTTCTATGAAGTTAAAAGTAAAAAAAAGATAGAAATCTTGACACAATGTATACCAATAAGGCAGGACAGAAGAAAAAATTATGAGAATATTAAACAAAAATTTAAAGGGATTTAAAGAAGGAAAAGGAGGCAGCGTGACGAATAGAAAGGGGAAGGGAGTTTCAGAGTTTAGGGGCTCGGATCAGAAAGGATCTTTCGAAGGTATGGGTTGTATGTTATGGAAGGGTAAGGTCGATTGGGGATGAGCGGGTCTTACGAGTGAGATGTGAGAAGGTGAATTGGAGGGATTGGATGATGTAGGGAGGACGACGAATGTGGATGGACTGGAAAAGAAAGCAACCTAGGAAATACTGTGCACGGAAGGAGGGGAATAGTCAGGAAAGCTGGGAATACAACCCCGACACCCGGGATCCCCGTGGGGTGCCGTACACAAATCTTACGCAACAATTCATAATACGCTTCAATCGCGCGTTCTCCTCCTCCGAGAGACCACCGTATGCCAAACAGCTATAATCGAAGAAGGGAAGTATAAGGGAAGATACAAGGAGTTCAAAGGTGGAAAAAGGTAAAAGAAGCCAGGACCGACGAAACAGGCTGAGGGAGGCAATGGAATGGCGGGAAATTTGGGAAATGTGAGAATGCCAGGAAAGTTTTTGGTCAAAGACTACTCCTAGGTTTTTAACCGAAGAGCAGAAGGGGATGGGATGGTTATTTAGCATGGGAGGTGGGATGCTGTGGAGGGAATTGAGGAGTTGCCTGGACCCGATAATTATGGCGGTGGATTTGGACGGATTGAGGACGAGGGAATTTTTATGGGCCCATTCGTTGATGGAGTTTAGGTCTTTTTGGATCTTGAGAGTGGCCGAGTGAAGATCGAAGGGTGGAAGGATATGTATATTTGGGAGTCATCGGCATATAGGTGATAGTTGCAGGACTGGATGGAGTCGGGCAGATCATTGATATAAATGGAAAAAAGGATAGGAGAGATGATAGAGCCTTGGGGCACCCCAGATTTTAAAGGGAGGAAGGAGGCCATTGGGAAAGGAGACAGCTTGGTGGCGATTGGTAAGGTAGGAGTGGAACCAACGGTGCTGGCGGAGAAGGAAAAAGATTCGAGTTTGGAGAGGAGAGAAGAGTGAGGGACAGAATCGAAAGCTTTAGAAAAATCAAGAAGGACAAGTATAGTAACTTTCCGTTGGTCCATTGCTAAGTGGAGGTTACTGGTAATTTTTATTAGTGCTGATTGGGTGGAATAACCTTGGCGGAAGCCAGATTGGAGGGGGTTGAAAAGATGGGACTGTTCAAGGTGCCTGGAGACTTGTTCTTGGACTAATCTTTCTAGGGGCTTGGACAGGTTTGAGAGGATGGAAATTGGACGGTAGTCTGTAGGGGAGGATGGGTTGGGGGTTTTATTGACAGGGTGGACAAGAACTTTTTGCCAGGCTGTCGGAAAAACAGAGTTTTGGAGTGAGTAGTTATAGATGTGAAGTAGAACAGGTAGTAATATTGGGAGGCAGAGTTTATGAAAATGGATAGGGATGCCATCAACTCCAATGGCATTGGAGTGGGATTTGGTTATGGCCTTGAGGACTTCGGCTGGGGTTAGATAGGAGAAATAGAAGTTAGACGAACTGAATGAGGGACCAGTGGGAGCGGGTATGGGGACAGGCATTGATGAAGAAGAGTTAGGCGAGACAAAGTGGGTGTTTAATTCTTCAGGGGAGACAGGATAGGAAGGGTGGGCGACATATGCCAATGTTACGAAGGAGCTTCCATTTTGCTCTAGGATCCGGAGTGGTGGAGAGTGCCTCTTGGTAATGAAGGGCTTGAATTAAATTACATGGTTTCTATTGAGACTTCAATCTCTCCAGTTCATGTTGTTACCTTCGGTCTCCATGTTAGATACTGCATCAAGACTTTGAATCTGCCTGCTCACCGCCTTTCTCGTTCTCTTGCCTTTGAGGTTATCAATAAAAAAAATATGGGGATAAGCTGCGTTAATTTGGCGGCGAAGTACTCATGCCCTTTTGACTCTAACTTCCAGGATCGGGATAAATGGTGTGCCCAGTTGATGGTCATACGTCAAAGGATTGACGAATGTTACCGGGAAGAGTGACCGCACGGTCGGCTCGACAGACCGTTTTCTTTTATATGAATCTGCAGTACCCCCCTTACCTTGCTGTCCCTTGATTCCAGAAATACAGAACTTTCGCCCACGGAACTGAGCTGGTTTTTTTAATTAAGAGGCGGGTTGCTTTTTCTTAACTACATTCCGTGACGATAAAGAGTTACCGCTCTGTGCTATTTGTAACCTCAGAGAAAGGAAGGATGTGTTCCATTTCTTGAGTGTATGTCCCATCGTCCCGGAATTTAGATATCCCCATACAGATCACAGCAGGCTCACCAGAACCCAGATAATTGAATTCCTTAATGGCAGGAACAGTTTGCAATTGATCAGATTCGCACGACAGGCTTGATCGTATAGTCATGATCTAATTAGGGAATTCAATTATGATCAATAGTCCTTTTCCTTTTTAAATTAGTATTATTGTATTATTATTATTTTATTTTTATTTATATATTTTTGATGGTTGTGGCTTCAACCTCCGGCAGACGGTTTTTATCCATGCTGTTATTTTATGTTATGACATATATTTTTGTTTTGTAAACATTTCGTATTAATAAAGCATTATTATTATATCATTAAATGTGCTAACGCTAAATAAAAGTCGTAAAAGGTAGTCATCATTGATTAGATATTTTTAATCTAAAACATAATTAGGCTCGGGACTATGCCAGTTTGTCCTAATTATTTAAATTCTCAAAAACTAATCATGTCCAGATGACTAGATGAAGTGTGTCGGAGCATCAAAAACTTTAAGAAGAAGTAAAGGTACGTACTGAATACAAAAAATAAACATGCTTACAAAAATGTTCATGTTTAATGTACAACATACTAATATCGTTTCATTATTTACATTTTCACTAAATGAACTTAATTTTAAAAATATCAACAATAATTTTTTAAACAGCATTGAATGTGTGAAAATGTTGGGCTGCGTTTTTAAAACGGCAGTTCAATTTTGTTGTCAATGAGACCATATTACGGTGTACTTGCAGCTGGAGGATTATGCCCATGCGAGGTATGCGACGAAACAGAATTATCATCAGACCCATCGACCGATGATTCAACTGGATTAGCACGTCGAGGTTGTCGATAGTTGTGAGTATATGACCAGTAGGACTGACGAAGCTTGGGTATTTTGAAATTAAACATCAAATTGTTGATTTCGTGCATTGCTATTTCGCGAGTGTCGTCATCTAGCGCTTTCAATTTCAAACATAATAGATCACAAAATAAAGAGCATTCATCGTTTGCTGGTTTTGATTTATTAGCAACGTGTTCAAACAAAGAATCCTCGTCCTTGCGCTTCTCAACGTTTCCTGTCATATCGGCTTTTCTTTTTCTGCTTGATGGAAGTCCCCCTTGATCAATTGCAGCTGCTTCCGTTCCTGCAGTGATATGAGTTTCTTCATCGTGGGATGCAGTGTTTATGTCAGAAGATTCTACTGAATCAGGTGTTGGGTGTTCATTAGTGGGTGGATCATCCCGTTCATTTTCTGGTCCCTGAAAACAAAGCATAATAGCCAACCTTTTTAAAACAGGTCAAATTTTAGATGTATGATGTAAAAACATTATTTTTAAATTACCTATATGTGCATAGAATAATAACATTAATAACCCTGTTTTTTACAGTTGCTTAAAAGTGAAGACGAGTTGAACATACAGAACAACACGAAAATCTTTGGAACTTTCCTAACTGTTTGGGGGGGCAAATGCATCATCATACAGTGCCCAATGAATATGTATTCATGTAAGGAAAGATTCAACATTTGTTGGGGACCTTTAGGCCGGTGCCACACTAGACGGAAGTTTTCGTGACGGAAATTTCGCGATGAAAAGTCCGCTCAAACTGTTTGGATATGCAGTTGATAACGTGACCCAGTGTATCGTGTACAATGAAAGAACTTTTCATTTTGTGTATTTACAAGGCAATGGAAAAGAGAAAGAGAGAACATTGGATTCATCTATTGAATATGAAAAGGGTAGCACTTGGCCAACTACACTGACAGTATGGGGAACTTCGGCTCTGTCAAGTTCTTCCAGTACTGTGGGATGACTATAGCTTCATTTGACGAGCGTCTCTAAAATTCCACAGACAGAGCTTGTTCTGAACTTCCACAATAAATTGGTCCAAGTCCGTCCTAGATCAGCTTCACATGCAGTTTGCAGTCCGTCTGCCTACCTCTTCCGTTCTAGGCTAGTCCGCCGTCAGTGTGGCGCACCCCAACTACTTTGCACTGTTTTGCTCTTTTTAGACGAAACGCAGCGGAACATGGACGCTGGTGCATCAACGGAGCTCGACGGAGACATTGCGACGTAAATTTCCGGTCGTTCTGGCGCTGGCTATGTGTTTTGAATGTAAGCTTGTGCAGCGGAAATTTCCGTCGCATTCCGTCTAGCGTAGCGCCGGCCTTAGTGGTACTTCTAGTTCTTGTAGTTGCCCACTATCGTTTCACATATGTAGATATTGCCAAAGCCGGATAAGCGATGGAGGAGTTTTGAACAATTCATCTCAGTTCTTTAAACTACGGAAGGGTCAACTAAAACTACAACCTGACAGGAAGCTGCCTTCATCTGAGAAAATGTTACCATCTTCGTTGGGGACGCAGCTTTTACCTTGAGTCACACATGATGATGCCATATCCTGGTATCTATGAGTATGAAACTTTTTTCGGGTACCGGTTATCTCGTGCAGGGCGTGTTGTTGAAAATGTTTTGCTATAATGGCATTTGTTTTTCGTGTTTTTAGAAAACCAATGGTGTTAGAGACAGAGGAAGTGAGTAACATTACTCTAGCATGAGTCCTTTTGCTTAACTTCAGAGGAGAAGGACATCATCAGCAACATTTTATACTACTTTAGGTATGTTAGTCACTGGAGTAGATGGTGTATCAATTCCTGGATCTTGGAGAATTAACCTCAGTGAATTAACGTCCTTCTTCCTTAAAACAGGAGAAGTACCTTATTTCGTGGCTCCTTTGCTGGGTATCTCATCACAAGTGACGTGTTACCTTGGTTGCTTTGGTAAGAGATGTATTGCTAATAATCTTTTGAGTCGTTTCTAGTTACTTTGAAAACAGGGTAGCAGAATAGTAAATAAGCCAATGAAAAATAACAGAAGGCAGTTTCGTCAGTTTTGGGTATTTTTTCTGGAATGTCGTCTTAAACAGTCTTATAGGAAAAATTGAAGAATGGGATATTGAATTAGCTGCTTATCGAAGACCTGGTAACCCTCATAGAGGCTGATTCCAAAGGGGAACTCGCAGAAATAGTAAAATGGTGTAAATAGGTCAAGTTAAAAATCTCCCCTGATATCACACACCAATGGTAAAAAGTAAGCTCACTAGTCCACCTGAAATAAAAATACAGAGAGTATTAAACCGAGCGTAAAGGTAATATGTCACGGGATAGAAATATATTCTCCGAATGGAGTAGAAAAGCAGAAAATAAATAGAAATTTAGCCCACAAGCCCTATCGACGTATAAAAGCCTACCCATTGCTACCTAAGTAAGTGCGACGTGGGCGAGAAAAATAAAAAGCAATACCAGAAACATCCTTGAACAGAGCCAAAGAATAGCCATACTGAGATGTACAACGAATACAGGACAACATCCACGCACTCCTTACAAGTTATTGGTTATGCCCAACCCATCGATATTGTCCTTCAGTGCGACGTATCACTTAGGCAAACCAATGAAGGAAAAACCAAACTTACCACACGTTGAGAGACAAGATCTAGAAGTGCTCCGAAAAAAACAATGCGTGATCTGTATGAAAAAAATTTATAAAAGAAAGGTAGCCAATCAGATAGGAAAATAGCGATAAGTGAAGGCTGACTTTTAAAAACTTCCCTATAATTGAAGAGAGGGCAAAAGCGAACTGAGTACTTCCCGATTTTTATACAATATAATTGCTATCAGTCACGGGAATTTCGCAACGCGCCTCTACAAGTTTAAAAGAGCCAGTTGTGCTCAGTGTGCAAAACAGAGGATGATGTAAGGCAAAGATTATTCTCGTGCACTTTGCCACAGAAGGAGCGGATAAAACTAAAGGCTTTATTCTCAAAAAAATGGCCACCAGAAGTGAAAAGAAGAAAGACCTTGTTTCAGACGATTCAACTTATTTAAATCGCTCAGCCAATCAAGGGTGGACCGACTTGATAATGTAATGTACCAATGTATTTAGTGTAATGTGCACAGTTCGGTTTAAATCGTTTACGTTAATGCATATTTATTACTAGAAAAAAGAAAATGTTTTTCTAAAACCTACGTCCCAGCAGACCGCACCTCACGATCTCCAAATAATCATTGGCTTACGGTCACTAAACACCACACATTTATTTACTATTTATTTACTATCATTGTATATAAGTAATTATTAATAAGAGCATGCACAAGATAGATTAACCCGGGCTAGTGTCCTTTCCATTATTTATAAAGGGTATAATAGCAAGGGGAGACCCATTTAGGAATCCAATTTAACACAAATACAAAAAAAAACTTACTTTCGTCAAGCCGCACCTTCAGACAGGTAGGAAATTCAGGAAGGCGTTAGGTATAAAAAGCTCTTTTGAAGGACCAAAATTTTAGTACAAGTCTCCCTAAGGTACCGCCTGGCCGGATAAGCGAAAAAAGTATTATTAATACAAAATTAACTTCTGTGGCAGGAAGTTTAAATAAATTGATATTTTATACGAATTATGTTCACTAGCATACTCTACGATAGGGATTTCGAGGAGCTAGTTGTTCACTGAAGACAAGCGGGCTTACCGATAAAACGAGAGTTAAACACTTGCCTAAGTCGAACAAATTTTCTGAATTTAAGAACCATCTAAATGAAACAAAACTCGATTTCAATTTCAATTTAAATACAACAGTGTTACAAGTTTCAAAAAAGAGAGGGAATTAGATTAGTTTGACAAATTTTAAATAAAAAATGTAAGATTAAACATGGAGATAAATGCATCAATAAATAATAGATTATGACTCACCTCCTATTGTAAACATGTACATAAATAATATTTGATATGCAAATTAATCACTAATTTAAAATTATTTTCTTACAGTATTTATTAGGATAATATTTAGTTGTGTTATAATTCACATTTTTTCCCTGCTCCGAGAAATATCGAAAACTGTGGAGTGAGTGTTGATGTCTGCAGAGTAAAAGTAAGTTATTAGCGAGAATGGAGTGGGTTCAGCCCAGTCCCGAGGAATGTCAAGTACTCTGGGTGAGTGAATGTTACCAGACATCTATGTTTGTGGTGATGTATACATATGTATTGCATGTTTTGTTTCTATTCTGTATTTGACAACTTGAGGTACAAACGAGAGTAATCGGACCGAGACGCTTAAAAGGCTGCACTTTAAAACAAAATACGCGCGAAAGAAGAGAAAAAGAAGGAAAAATGCAGAGGGCCGGCGATGACCTCAGCTGTTTGTCGGTCCCACTTTATGTAAATTCACGTTTTTCCCACGTTCAAAATTGGGCGGCATTAATAACCAGGTTATCATTGGGCGGTAGATCGTCGGGTTCCTTCACAATTGATGTAGAGAGACACAGGTTCTCATTCTCCTGCTGGGGAATGTTTAATGCTCGAAATATGGATCATTGAAAACAAAAATTCTGTAAATAAGAGCTATCTTCTGAAAAGATTTAATACTCTTTATTTCCCTTCATTTATGTAGACTTTTTCAACAGCTTCTTGTGAAATTTTTGAAAATCCAAGAAACCAAATCGAGTTGGTTTTACGCGACGGCTTAGCTGTAAAAAGTAAACAGGATAAACTTACTGTACTCAGGTATTCTTGGTACGCATTCAAGCAAAAAAATATGATTTGACCACCAGGAATATGTCATATCCATGAAAAAAGTTAAAACTAAAATGTGTAGTATTTAGTGACCGTTAATTAATTATTATATAGAGATCGTGAGATGCGGTCTTGTGAGATGTAGGTTAAGAAAAACATTTTGTGTGCCAACGTTTCGATCTTTATTGAGATCACCTTCAGGTTCTGGGATTTATAAACATTGTTTAAATTGTACAAATGTAAGACGTGAAAATGAATTTATACAATGATGTACAAAATATAAATTTTTTATGATTAATCAATGTATTTGTACTCACCTAAACAGGAATAAACATCAATTACAGAACAGACACATGCCGCAGCCTCGCTAATATCATAAATCAAATTCAGTATCAATAACATACATATAACACACAAAACAATACAATATATAAAACGATCATTACACTCCACACATCAAACAGCAATAGTCTAAATCCCCAAAAATGTATCTCTCATTTCCCTAATAATCCCGTCTATAATAATCCTGAGTTTTTTTAATCCTTTGTACATAATTCTGTAAATAGCTGTAATTTAGTTTAAATATACATAAAAAAGTAATTTTTGTAAATATTATATTTCTAGACAGAACATAAAAGAAATTGAAATATGGATTTTTAGCAAGGTATTTTTTGACTTTACTATAAATTATTGGTTACAATGTCAAATATAAATATTATGATAGTAATTTCTTATAATTTTATATAGATGTCTGTTTCACCGTCAAAATGTATTATGCTGGCCATGTGCTCCATAGCGCACTTATTTATACACTTGTACAATAGTTTTTCATATTAATCGTTTCTTCATCCTTGGGAAAGTACATATACAATTGTATTACACTAATTGTTAATTGTATGTTGTTTTGTATTTATTTGAATTTGTAATAAAATAGGCCCCGATGATGGCACTATAAAGTGCCGAAAGCTCGGTGAACCCAGCGTTTAGTCTTTTTTTTTCATCCGTCTAATGACCTCTACGAAGATTGGAACCTTACATAGATTATCGGCAGGTCGATCAACAAACATCACATCTTAATCCTGAAAGGCTAAACTAGGCCCGAACAACAAACCATTACCCTTTTTTCCATTGTAGATCACTTTCAGCTCGAACAACCTAACTCTTCATAGAAAAATGAATTTCTATTCATACTTCCTTCCCCGCTCCCTCCAAATCAAAAATATATGTAAATAAAAAAAAACATTAATATCTCACTATACACTCAACACGACGCACAACCGTGACACATCTACACAGAAATATACTTTGAGTGAGTACAAATACTTCGATTAAACCTAAAATTTCTATATTTTTTATATCATTGTACAAAAATTGATTTTAACATCTTACATGCACTTGTATAATTTAAACAATGTTTATAAATCCCAGTCCCCGAAGATGATCTCAATAAAGATAGAGACGTTGGCACGATAAAGAAAATGTTTTTCCAAACCTACATCATACAAGACCGAATCCAGCTATAGCTAAATAATCTTTAAATTAAAAGGGAAAAAGTCTAATTTAAAGAGAAAGAGGTTTAAATTAAATGAAAAAAAGCTTTACCTTATCAGGCATTTTTGTTTTCCTTGGTTCATAGATACTGTGCAAAAATGATTCCATTTTCTCGTAGGCAAACCATTTTGGCTTGAACGCTTCTTCAGTTCTAGTGTGATTTTTGGAACTTTTTTTTACTTTTAACGCCAACTTCCTGTAAGTCGCCATCAAAGCTTCTTTCTTCTTTTTCAGCTCTTTTAGAGAACAGTCAACACTGATGCTACCTTGGATTCGCTTCCAAGCTTCATATATATTGTTCCTATCCTTGTGGTCCGCATGATGCAGATTCCAGATGGAAGGTTCCCCCTCGTACAAATCCAAAAACTCCATAATGACTTTATTTGACCATTCCATATTTATCCAAGATGACGCGCTGAAATCGTTCTAGACCGAACCGGTACAAAGGAAGCAAACCACATCAGACCGTGGGAACGGGTGCTCGAGCCGTACTGAGGCGTGTCATCAGGCGAGCCCCAAGCCCTTGATGTCGGAGTGTTTACCGACAATACACGGGGAAGGCCGAGCCACCTCGAGCAATGACGTGTCGTTACGTTCCCATGGCGTCAGATATGACGCACAACTTCAGACCAGGCTCGCCAAGCCACACGCCGTGGGAACAAAGCTTTTGCGATGACGGATCTCTAATCTGACTGAAGCAATTTCCTCTCTTTTTTATTTCTGATCGATGGCTAGTTTTTATTTCGCGAAGTTTATTATTTTCCATGCTAAGCTTAGTTTGTACACTTGTAAAATTTAAAATAATTTTTATCCATTAGATTTCGTGGTCCGATTGATCCAAAAACTTCTTTTAATTAATTAACCTTTCAGATCAGACTTCTCAGTTTAAATATTTTTCTATATGTAAGGTATTGGTTGAAATAAAAAAGCCAGTGTCACGAGTGGGATTCGAACCCACGACCTTCGGCTAAATACGCCGCTGCTCTACCTGAAAAATGGCAAAAAGGAGGGAAAATTCGAAAGGTGGGCTGAGATGGGAAGTTGATGACCGAGTGGATCGAAGTCACGATAACTCAAGTGGTAGAGCAACGGTGTATTTAGTCGAAGGGCGTGGGTTCGAATCCCGCTCGAGGCACTGGCTTTTTTTCATCTCAACTAAAAACCTTAATTAATTGTTTCGATCTTTATTGAGATCATCTTCAGGGCGTGGGATTTATAAACATTGTTTGAATTTTACAAATAAATGCATGTTTTTTTCCACATCCTACAAATATACAAATACCAATACCTTACTTAAAAATTAATTAATTGAAATAATTTTTATATTTAAAATATTTAATAATTGCGAATACTTTTTGTTCCTACGATGACCAACCGTTTCTAATTCATTGCCAGCTAAGAAGATACATACGAAACTCACAGAATATGCCCTTTATTCATTGATTTTTTTTCTTAAACATCTTCCTGCTGAAAAAATGTATTTATGGCAAGAAAGCAATAAATAAGCAGGTTAAGAGATAGACAGAAATCCACCACTGAAGATGGCAAGTTACCTAAACGTTTTACATTCAGTGATTCACGTCAGGTTTTATTGTTGTATCAGCTATTTTTTTGACTATGGTATGAATGATTAAAACTTTCGAATTCATTCAAAAATCGATATATTCTAAATTCTTCGTTGATTTTTTATGGCAATTGTAACTATTATTTAAACCTACAAATTGAATATTCAAATATTAGTTAATTTTACATATAAATTAATTTGTTGAAGTTGTCAAGAGCGGTAAAAAGTGAGGTAGTTTAGAAAAACATCTTTTTCATTTTTTGCCGAAATTTCGACCTTTATTACGGCCATCTTCAGAACATGAAGTGGCATGTGACACCAAAAGAATAGCACCACACTTTATGCCCTGAACATGATACGGTCGAAAAGACGGCAAAAAAATAAAAAAGGTGTTTTTCTAAACTACCTAATTGTAGTGTCATATTGCTATTTGTGAAATTGTTTGTGAAACTTGAATTTGTATTCTTCTGTTTTTGAATGATTCATTCAACTTACGGAAATAGATAATATAAATTATTTTTAACAATATTGTAAAAGAGGTTTACCCGTGAGAAAGACAGTGATATTTTTTTGGCAAAATGTGTAATTCATGAAACTGATGATGATCGGAGAAATTTCTTCCCAAACCAAGAATAGCACCACACTTTATGTTAGTATGAAATACTTGGGTCAAAATTTATATTTACATCTGTATTGTATTTTTTCCAATCAACATATATTTAAGTAATTCACCCAGGCCCTGAAGATGAATCGAATAAAGGTCGAAACGTTTCATAAAATGAAAAAAAGCGTTCTAAACTCCCTCATTCATAACCGCTCCTCAAGACTTCAATAAATTATGAAACAAGGTTACTAAGAAACACACATTTACATATAAAATTCAACAAAATGTTTCCTAAATAACCATTGCGTACTTATCATGTATTATTTATACCCAAAAATTGAGTTTTCAAATATTAGTAGTATTTTCTAAATATTAATTGTGTACCTATAATGTATGAAATAGTATTTATGGAAAATTGTGGTTATTAGCAAGGTGAAGCACAAGATAAAACGTCAATAAAGGCAGAGTAAAGCCGAAACGGTCTGACAGCACAAAACAGCGAGATTTGCAGACCAAAGTTCAAATATTGTAACAATTTTTACGATTTTTGAGTAAATTGTCAAAATTTTAATATTTAGTGATGTATATCAGGTTTATTCTCAACCAACACCTATATTTTTGACCATTTTCGTAATGACATATTGCAAAAGTTCTACTTTGTTAGAAAAACAGTCCATTCAGTATTATTGCAAGAAAAGAGCTCAAGCAGGGTGAGGTATCGAAAGAAATCCACCACAGAAGAAGGCGAAATACCTAACCCGTCTGAGAGGCAAACACATCTAGAACAGACATACAAAAATTATCGGAAACTACGTACAATCCTCGGAATATCGGTGTTTTTGAAAAGAAGCTTTTCATAAGAATATCGGGTTCGAATGCAGGGCCGCTGGATTCGAACCCGATACGTACCTTACAGTGATGACGCTGTGCCAACATTAGGTCGGGTTAGAGTTAAGGACGGGATAGGTTACATATCTATGACTCTATATTTGTTGTTTTCTTTACTCTTCATCCACGATTGCATTATTTTAAATTAATCACCATGTAAAAACCAATAATATAAATTATTTTTAACAATATTGTAAAAGAGGTTTACCCGTGAGAAAGACAGTGATATTTTTTTGGCAAAATGTGTAATTCATGAAACTGATGATGATCGGAGAAATTTCTTCCCAAACCAAAATTAACAACATGAATAACAATAATTCACAAACAACTTACACTATTCTAACTATTCTTTTGGCATGACCGTTTTGAATTTAGATAAAAATGCTAATTCATTTTTTTTTAAATATACAAATCAAGGGTGACGGTATAAAGAATAAACTATAAAAGGAAGCAAAGCCCTTTCTTATGTCCATGAAATAGCAAAAAAAGTTAAAAGTAGTAAAACGAGCAATAAATTAAGCGATTTATCATTTGTCATTATAAAGTATGATAATGCAACTGGCATCAGTGACTTAGAGTAGAAAGAATTCTCATATTTCATTTTTTGTATTATTTTTATTTTATAATCTCGTGCTAATTTTTCATCCGTCGGAAAATAATGCATTTCTCGACACATACCATGGGGGTTGAGTTGAGAAATACGAGAGCCGGTTTTAGGTTTAAGTATTCCTAAAAATATACAGTGCCAACTGCGCATTTAATTATGTCGTAACTCGGAGAAGGATTTAAATGATTCTTATCACTGCGTTTGGGTTTACAAGATAATTTTCTCTGATAAAAATGAATGACCCTAATGCAGAAAAATCTATTTTTAGGGAGAAAAGAAGGACAGTTTTGTAGGTATGGAATGAGACGTTCGTTGCATTTTATTTATTTATTTTTGACAGTTATGTTGTATACACCGATTTTTTACGTATGCACTAACATATTTACAAATTGTATTTTCTTCTAATGATTCCAGTGATAATAAAATTATGCAAACAATAGTCAAGAGGTACATAACCTGACCAATAAAAATCTTGAAACATTAATGGGTTGTACTATTTGTTTAGTTATGACATGATTTACGTTGGTTTCTAAAATTCAAAAATAAATTGCAATAATTTGTCAAACAATGAATTAGTTGAAATGTCATAATGGTATATTACAAAAATAAATATGCAGTTAATTTAGGTGAAAAAATTTTCATTTCTAATCATCCTGGTCAGTCAGTGGAGGGTTAGTGCTGCTTTGACCTGCTTATATCCTTAACCGATATCTGAAAACGGACTAACACTAGGTAATAATAGCACTGGATAATATATGTCATTTTGAAGAAAAAAATATTAAAGATCTAGCCAAATCACAACAGGCTCTCCACGGAACTGACATACTTCACTTAACCTCAGACAAGACGAAGGATCATGGGCAAAAACAGGCGATGAGAAAGCTTCTCTATTCTTAAAACTCTTAATGTACTCGAAGCACAAAATACCAACGATGCTGAAGTCTATCACTTGAACTTTATCGCCAAGGACCATCCCATGTCAAATGAACTATCAGCAAACTTCCTTATAAAAAATCTCCCTGTTAGACTAAATCATAGTAAACATCCCCCACTAAATGCAAAAATGTTCTCTTGCATACCTACTTGTTATATAAGTACTTCCTAATTCTATGGATATTTGCCTCAATTATCAACATCTCGAAAATCGTGAATCTGGCGTAATCCCCTTTATCCGCCCGACGTCTTTATCCAAAAATTGATTCCATCCATTTAATCCCTGTCTATCGGTCGCTTTTATAAGGACCTTGCTGATCGTTATTTCTGGGTAACGTACGGTTCTTCTGACTGACCTAACAATCCAGTCCGAACAAGAGTCCCTCAAGGTACTATCTTTGGTCCTATCGTTTACTTAATATACTGCTGACATCCATAATCATCTCAATACTTTCCTGTTCGCATTTTTAGACGATATTGCAATCCTGTCGTTGTTCGTGCCGTACCTCACCATACTTTGACCCGTGGCTAAAAAGTGTGGGATAAAAGTAAACTACGGTGAGCAATCCTTCCTCCTGTATTCCTGTACATAGGTGTTTGCTACTGAGGACTATACATCGAGAAACAACTCATCTCCTCATGATAGACTAATGCAAAAAGAATTTGATAGAATCATGGACAGTTGATCAAAATTACGCTTCAATAACAAAAGACTATTCAAACTGACATGGACTAACTGTATGTAAATATGGAGTTAAGCCAAAGCACCCAACTCTGTGCTCACCTAGCAACCCCAATTTTCTGTCTCTAATGAACCTTCACCACCTCAACATCCCTTACGTTTCCGATATAAAAAGTTCCACTCTTCGCTCATAGGTTATCCCA